CCTTTGTTCATATAAGGGATTTCCTGGAGGGTCATGAGTTCTCTACTTCTGTGACTAGATATGTGGATTTTCTGCGAGAGCACCCTCTGGCGTCCAGTATGAATGAAACAGACATCATGTGTTTATAGTGCTAATGGTCAATCCATCATTTTTGGGGGGAATTTTTTTTTATTTTTTAATAAGTATCGGTTCAGGCACCATTTAGGCACCGAAACTGTTTTAAAAGTATCGATTTGGCACCAGTATCGATAAAAAATAAATAAATAAATACCCAAACCTACATTTTAGTCAAAGTAAAATTTACTAAAATGTATGAATATGGCGTTAACAAAACAAGAACAAAATGTAGAGGGTATTTTCATTAAAAGTCAAAAACTATAAGTAAAATAAAACAAAAATTAATTAATTAATTAAACAAATTAATACAACAAACTGAAAAAATTAACAGAGATATCCAATTAACAATGTGCATCTCATCCATGGAAATGTGGCTTAAGTTTCTGTGATCAGTAGATATATCAAATGGCAGATTTTGTTTATTTGCCAAGTATAAATGTGCTACGAACTGTTGATCATGTATGAATAAACATTTAAGGCAAAGTGTTGTGAGTCAGTGGTGCTTTAGTAATTTCCAGTGACATTCAGCACAGAGCACAACAAACAAACTCCTAACAGGTTTTTAATGCAGTTTCTTGGGAGGAAATACTGAACATTAGTCAGTCTAAACTCAAGTTCTCATGTTTACTCTTTGATCTCACTATAGAAAAAGTGCATTTCGCCTCAGAAACAATCCCTTAATCAACATTTGAGGGTTGGAGGGAAACTCTGACACAATTACAAAAGGAAAAGATTCGTAAGAGCGGGCAGCTGTTCAGGTTCGATTAAGATCCTGCTGACAGCTGGTGAGCTGCCGAACCTAAACAGAGCGTGGAGCTGTTTAACTGAGTAAATGGCTGATTCATCCATTCACTGAAGTCTGACAGAGAAAGCGAGAAGGAAAATCCAATGTTGTGATGCCTTTTTGGAATGTCATGAGGGATTGTGCTTTGTGGCTGAGAAAATCTCTTTCTATTAGATAGATTTTTGAGTCCACAGAGACCCGCAGGTTTCAGAAATTTGATTTCTGCTTGTGGAAGTGATTTACAGCAGCAGTGTCAAACTCCCATTGGGACGAGGCTCAATTCCAAAAACACTGCTTCACTGATTTTCAATGGCTTGCTCAAGTGTTCCCGCCTCTGAGGGAGAGAAAAAAATCCCACCTTGACGAACATCATCAATATGAATTGAAGTATTTAATTGTCAGAAATTGGGAGAAATTGACAACTCGACTGTCTCCAAAGTGATACCTAGAAGAGACAGCGAGGAAGTAATGTAAATGCCTCAGTCAAATTATCGTGAAATATTTTCAGGCCACCTGAAATATTCGAAGCAAAGCATGCTGCATATTTCAGTTTTAATGTCCATTTTGCTTACAGATTAAATAAGTTCTAGATTGTACAGGGCAGTGTTTATGACTGATTCAAACCAGCTAACAGAGTCATTTGTTTGGGAAATGACTCTTGTTTTTGTTCCTGAGAGTCAGTTGTTTGTGAGCTGAACTACACTGATCACACTGTATGCTATTGATTCAATAAAAAGAACCTGTTCATAAGAGTCATTTGATTGTAGATCACATAACACTGGTTTCACTGTATGTTTTTACTCAATGACACATTCATAGGAGTCATTTAAACGTTTTTGATTCACTAAAAATAACTATGTCTTACAAGCCATTTGTTCATGATTTGAACAACATACAGTAGGTTGCACTACAGTTTTCATTCACTCAAAATAACCACACCATATGATTCATTTGCTCATGATTCACACTAACAGCTATTGAATCATTGTGAGTTTTTGATTCAATAAGAAGAATATGTTCGTAAGATTAATTTGTTTGTAAATCACAATACACTGGTACCGCTGTATGTCTCTTATTCATTGAACAGAACTGTTCATAAGAGCCATTTGCTCACGAATCACATTGATCTTACTGTATGGTTTTGATTCACTGAAATGAACCAACTCTCATTTGTTTGGGATTCAGACTAAGCTGCATTTTTGCATAAGTTGTATGTTTTTCATTCACTAAAAACTACATCATATGAGTCATTTGTTCTTGAATCACACTACACTGGTCTCACTGCATGTTTTTGATTCACTAAAAAGAACCCATTTATAAGAGTAATTTGCTCATAAATCTCACTTTTCTGGTCTTGCCATAGACTTTTAAGAGCCATTTGTCCATTCCCTTGAGAATTACACTATAATGCTCTCGCTATGCATTTTTGATTCACTAAAAGAACCTGTTCATAAGAGTCGTGTGCTTGTGAATCACACTATACTTGTCTCGCTGCATGGTTATGATTCTCTTAAAAGAATTGGAAAGACTGTTGAAAGACCGTGAAAAGATTACTTGAAAAAGCCATACTAGATTTCCAAACTCATACATCAGATGAGATAATCACAGCACACACATTTACTAAACTATCATAAGCAACTAGCTGTGTGTATGAATGAAAATGTAGTAGAAGATATGTGTGGTCCACAATCACACGGTCGGCATAAGATATGCATTTTACTTTCTGAAGCGTGTGCGTATCTGACAGACTAATATGCGGAGGATGGTAAATGCCTCTTTACGCCGCTCCTACAGAAGATGATTTGTTGAAACACAAGACACTGCCATTCACTCTGAGGGGTAATTCACTGCTGGAATCAGAAGCAGACTTGTTATTTAGAGAAAAAATGAAAATCGGAGGATAAAATGACTGTTTGTGTTCGCATATCAGTGTGTATTTGCATACAGTACATGCACATCTGTTCATGTATATTCAAAAATCTCTTATAGAAGGTAAAAATACAATTGTTAACAGCTAGTTTATAGTGAAACTGCAAAACTTCTTCAAGTATGGCTTAAAAAAAGTTTCAATAGTTTAGGAAATCTTAAAAGGAATCTGGGAAAGCAAACAAAAGCAGCATGTTCCTCTCACAGCATAGACTTTAATGTAGTTTAATACTGCGCTGTTGCTATAGATACAAGAATAAAGCCTTATGTGAGATGGATACTCAACCCAAGAGAATTAACACTTTCTCAGTTATTTTTCAACCAACTCTTCACAACAAGAAGCTATGTATAAATCATAATAAGCTAGATTTGCACGCCACATAAACATCATTATGCATTTTTGCATAAATCATGAATCAGATGCTTTGTGTCCTCTTGCTTCACGCAAAAGAGACAGGAGAGACACAGTAAATCTTTACCCAATGTGACAAAGCCGTACAGGTTATGATTCAGTTTTACCCACGGGCGATCTAGAGTTACCAATGCACAAAACAGACGTGGCTGGGGGAAATGGCTTGTCAGGCTTGTTCCTCATTCCGTATGGAACAGGAAGGAGGTGTGAAAAATCCAAAGCTCTTGTTTTTTGTCAGTTCATCAAAGGAACCATCATTCTCAGCGGTCCAGATATGAAACTCTCTTCTCTATATCACGTGGCCAGCTGCCATAGAAACAACCACACTGTGCAAACTGCAATCTGTTCTTAATGAGAGATCTGCCTTTTTCAGCCCATCTATAATCAGTGGAGTTGTGGCTGCATCTGGTTTTGTAAATGCAATCTGGGTTATAGTTCCCTTTCAGTCGGTCACTCTCGACGTCACGTCGGAGGACCGACGAAATTGGGATCTCGCTTAGAGGGACCAAT